ATTTGCATCCAAAATCCCGGGGAAAGCTGTGCTGAGAAATCTGGAAGTTGAGTGGTGTGAACATCCCCTCCTGCATGTCGCAAGAGCTCCAGCTCCTTCCTTATTCTTAAAATAACTGCAGCTTCTAAGTAGTGGTTCCTCTCGGCGCGGCCGCCCCCACCGGCAGGTACCGCGGCACCCTGGGACATGGCTGATCCACTGGGACACAGCTGATCCACCGGGACACAGCTGATCCACCGGGACATGGCTGATCCACTGGGACACTGCTGATCCACTGGGACACTGCTGATCCACCGGGACACGGCCGTGCTCCCAGCCTCTTGCATGGGAGCCTTGGCCAGGGATGGGGGGACAGTGAGCCCTGGGGAATTGCTGGATTGCAACAGTGTTCCCACGGGAATTACGGTGGTGTCTACAGTCTCACTTGGTGTGCAACTCCCTGTGCAAGCAATGGTGTTCCTGGGACAAGCTGGTGTGTGTGTAATTAGCACGGTGTGTGTAATTACGGCCATTGAGGTGCTGACCCACTGGCCTCCTCCACCTAAGGCACATTGGGGTGTCCAGCCCTGATGTGGGCTCGGGGGGAGGGGGGAAGTGGTCAGGTTGGGAAAGGCTTTTCCTCCAGCTGGGGAGGCCCACACCCATGGCACCCCCTTGCCTGCAGAGCTTCAAATACCCCCAAACTCCTGGGAACACAGCAGGGGGAAGGGGAGTGAGAACAGGGTGGGCGAGGTACAAAAATTGCGTGGGGGGGAAAAACTCACAGTTAGTGTTCACGTCTCAGTAAGCAAAGCCCATGATGGATTCCTCTGGCTGGTGCAGGGAGTGACTGCAGCTGTGCAAGGTTAGAGCAGAAGAGCAAGAAAAGCCAGTTTTTTTCGCCTTATCTAAAAATAAAGCCCAAATTCTGATCACGATCATCGTCTTCACCTGCTGCAGGAGCTCAGCTCCGGCAGGCTGGGGTTTGCTGGAGGCTTTGGCAGCGGCAGCACGTGCTGGGCCAGGAGCCTCGAGCAGCAACTGGTTGACGGATTTATAACCTATTTTTGTTTTTCCTTCCCTTTCTCCAACTCTATGGGTGTGACACGAGACCTTGGTTCCTCTGCTGTGGTGGCAGGGATGGGCAGGGGAGCCCCCGGCGCGACGCTGGGCACGCGGGGCTCCAGGCGGGAGCGGCGCGTGTAAACAGTAACAGGAAAGCTTGAATAATAACAACGAAAAAAAATAAAGATAAAAGGCCCTTCAACAGGCCGAAGAGAGGGAGCACACCCGTACTGGAGTGAGAAATTACCCCCTTCCTTGGAAAAAAAATAATAATAATTAAAAAAAATAATCATCGTCCCTAACCAGAAGGAAGAAACTAGGTACATTCTTTCTCTTGATGGGGTACCTGGAAGGTGTCCAGGATTTCTCCACCCGAAAGTGCATCCCGGTGCCGGTCAGAGCGGCGTGTACTGGTTGTCGATGGCGCGGACGTGGCCCCGGCCCGGAGCGTCCCCCTCGTAGTCCGAATCGCGGTGCCGGGGGCCGGGGGCTGGGGCTGCCCCGCTGGGCCGGAGGGTCTGCACCAGCTCGGCTGGTGATGGCACCAGGTGGAAGATCTGCTCCGGTGGGGGACCCGGCGGGGTCTCGGGGCAGGAGGGGCCGGCAGGGTCGAGGCTGAATTCGGGGCTCCAGCTGGGAACAGGCAGGGGGAGGGGGACGGTGCTGGTGGAGCCGGGAGCTGCGGGGGGAGCGGAGAGGCGGCCGGTGGGTGGGATGCTCCTGGGTGGGTTCCAAGGCTGGGATGGAGGCACATCCTGCTCCCATCCCCTCCCCCCCCTTCATCCTCCCAACTTGGCTTGTGGCCAAAGGACCCAGCTCTGCCCAACCCCTGGAGCATCCACATACACCCTGGGGGACCCTCCCACCAGGACAGGACCCCCCCTCCCTGCACCCCACAGGAATGTCCCCATCCCTCTGTGCCACCTTTTACCTTGGGGCAGGACGACGACGTAGCTGGAGAGCCGGACGTCGCAGGCTGCCCCGCACTCCAGCGGGATGGGGTAGCGATGGAAGTGCTGCAGCATCTCCAGGATGGAGGCGAAGCGCAGGTGCTGGACGCGGCACTGGCCCCGCTCTGTCAGCGCCAGCCGCAGGGGCTGGGGGGGGGA